TCTTCGATCCATTTTTTTGAAAGTTTATCCATATTAATATATCATTTAGTCAAGGGTCATATCACAAACATGATTTAAACGCCACTTTTCATCAGAAGTTGAATAGCGTAGTGGTTAGCGTGCTAGTCTCAAAGCAAAATGATGCTCGGGGTTTTTATTGCTAAAGTTCAAACTATACCACATTATTTTTTAACAACAGAATTTTTTCTGCCGAGAAAATTTTCCTCAGATAAGTTTTGTTTATCATAATTTCATATATTTCAATATTGAGAACTTTAATACTAACTCTAAATATGAAATTCATAAATTGAATATGATTTTTTTAAATATCTGAAGCTATAGGCATTCTGCACGCCTTGTTCGGCCATCTCCTTTGTGTTTCGATCCCTGTACTATTTTCCCTGTATTAGAAATAGGAACCAGTAGAGTTACTGCCTCATCATAGACATCTTGTTGTGACCATGACCTTCTGTTTGTGATTATGACCTTCCCTATGACCTGTCACCTAAACCTCATATTTCAAACTTCTCTGACACAAATAAAATCAGCAACTGGGACATTCTTTTCAACATTTTTCTGATTTTATGTTGACTGAACATTTAGATCAAAAAGTGTCCCACATCTACACTGTGTAGTATACAGTTCATATGGAGGCAACCTCATGAGTGCAGAGTTTTATATTGATAATGTTCCCTAAGTTTAGGGTGGAGTGAAGAAAGGCGAATGCCATTTGTTTTATTTATAGGACATGTATTTGAAAAGCTTCTCGAATAAATAGCAATAAAACAATGGATCAAATCAAGTTTACATTTCATTATAATAATGAAATCATTGTTTTTTAACTTTGGAAGGGAGTAAGGATAAAGATCAAAGTTAATCAGAGGAATCCATAAGGGAGATAACTTATGAAAGATCTTCATAAATGCAACAACTAAGATCAGAATGAATCAAATTAGTATGCAAGCATCTTCAGCATGTCCAGAACTCGGGTTGTTTCAAATCATCCCCCAAGGTTAAGGATGAGGCCAAAGTTATAGGTCCACACTTTCTTTTTAAACAAAGAAATATAAACGTATAGAAAAAATATGGAATAAAATGTCCCTAGAACACAGCTGGATCACAATTTGCTCAAGTTATGACGGATATGAGACATTTGTAAATTGGATTATGGAAGAACAATCTTTGGAAGTCTTAAAAGAACATATAAAAGTCTTAAGAGTACATATAAATAAAATTAAGGTTCATTGACCCTCTACTAAGAGAGATAACTCTCAGAAGGATAAATTATTCTTACCTTTATAAAATTGTCAAGTTAGGACATTTCCGTCAAAAAATTATAATAAGTTAAAATTCATTTATAAATCAGATTTAAAACAAACAAAATTTTGTTTGAAGGCTTATGATTTTGATTTATAATTAAAATGCACACAACTTCAGCCAAACTTGTAGGGAAATTTTGACAGAGATGGCCTTTTAACTTGATACTTTTTAAAGAAACAGTATACATTTATCCAAATTATATCGAGCACTTACATACTTTTGCTTAAAATAATAAAATTGTTGAAATCCATAGGCTTCAAAACGCAGTAAGGTGGTAATAGGTCTCATTTACGTACACATACATAGTACGCCTGTCAGAAAATGTGTCTCAGCTCTGAAGTATTTTTTTTTTCATTTGACCCATGGGCCTCTAATCTCAATAATCATGTGGTTTATCTGTCCAAAATACAGTAAGAAAAAAAACTTGATAAACGAACACAATAAGACCTTTTTGGGTCCATATTGCGTGAAGCAAGGAAAGTTAATTAAGAAACAATTGTCTATAAAATGCTTGGCATTTAATTTCCGTTCATCGAATTGCAACATAACTTATCCCCATGAAGCTTGTCCGTGTATATTAAATGCATATATAGTAGATATTTCATTTATTTTTCAGTGTTATGTCTCACTAACTGCTGAACTTCCGCCATTTGCGCACGCAGCTGTTTTACGGCGGGAAATAGCGAGTTTTGTATCAAGGCAAGACCTGCTTGGGTCCTCTTTACGGTGTCCTTCAGTGGCGGATCCATCAGGAGGGTGGATTCCAATGCTTTCAGTCTTTCAGATATATCCATCACGGTCGGATTTTGGTCAATAAGCTTAGCTGCATCAGTAGGCCTTTGTAGTTCTGATAATACCTTTGATGTATTTTGTTTCATTTCCAACATGCTATTCCGCAGCTCCGAGAGTTGTTCTGTCAAAGCTAGCACGGCCGATTCCTGGGAGTCCTTAATGTCTTTCATTTCTTTTTCTACTTTCATTAAAATATCAGAAGCCGTTAAGTTGTTTTTCGAAAGTGTTCGCATAAGAGTTGCAAAATCCAGCGACATCGTCATAATTTTGGTGTTGGCTCCTGAGAGTTGGTTGATAGCTCCTTCCAGTTTGTCCTCCATTGCATGGATATTGCCCTCCAGTTTAGACATTTCTTTACTGTATGTGTCCGACATACTGAGGATTCTGTTTTGGTTTAATTCAACTTCACGGAACAAGTGGCTGATTTTCTCCCCAGGCTCAGATTCTGCTGTGAAGCATTGTCCGCCATTGAATAAAACGGCGGCGAAATATGCCAGAAAAATTGCGATTGCAAACCGGCTCATCTTGCAAGAAAGTCAAGATTGCAAGTGAAATAAAAGAAAAACTTCACGTTCCTTTCAAGCGCAGGTACAGGGTTCATCCTAAACAGTCCCATCCGAGGAATGATAAAGTATGTTTGCATTAAACAATGGCTGCTCAATTTGTGTGTAATTGTAGGATAATTTTGTCAAATGTTCGGTTGCTTACATACGGCTGATAAGAAATGTTGACTTTTTGTAGAAGAACGGAAGTTTGCGTTTAATTTGCCGTAATTGCCGTCTGAAGGTTTTAAAATGCGGTTCATCGGTAAAATATGTGAAACCTTTTTGTATAACACACAATACCTACACGGATCAGGCCTGAAATTATTGCAAACTAAAATATTTCACAAAAAACCCAAACTTTTCTTTGCTCTTAAAAAGTAGGATGGGGAGGTGATCATTTATTGTTTGCAAATTCAACATTACATTGAGCAGCTGTTTTTAAGACGTTGGGGGTAAAATATATTTTGGAATAGAAGTAAATTTGCACGTAAGTAAGTGATATTTTTTTTTACACGTACAAGCATGAAAGTTATATATATATATATATATATATATATATATATATATATATATATATATATATATATATATATATATATATATATATATATATATATATATATATATATATATATATTTATTTATTTATATATTTGGAATTCCGAAAGGAACTAATTTTCTTACGAAGCAGAATTTATTTGAAAATTATATAAGAAGAAAACTCCTGCTGTGGCACTCAATTCGACATTTATCAATATGTATAGAGGACGTTTTATCAAATTAACAATATTTTGACTCGATACAGTGTAATCCAAAATATCTGATATACATTTTGAAGAATAATGAAACTTCTACATGTCATGATAAAACTTAATGAAATATTTCAAAATTTAATTCCGCCATGCCTTGATTTTTTTTAACAGTATATGTCATGTACACTTTATTTATTTTTAAAAGTACGTACAATCTTATCTTGTGAAATAATGCAGTTATATACAGAACATGATACATGGACATGTATATGACGTCCTTTCTGATCCAGCATGAGATACCCTCTCGTTTAAACGTTTGAGATAAGATTTCTACACTTTCAATAATTCCCTTGTTTACTGCCAACTTTAAATTTTTGCCATTGTCTTTCAAATATTCTCACAGGCAATGTCAAATGGGCTTTAATCTTGGGAATCTCTTAAAATTCAATAACAGAACTTCTGCAACTTTATTGAGGCAGGCTACTGCCAAATAAGTTACAGATCTTTCATCATTCTTTAAGTCAGCATTTTGCGAATTCTTTAATCGTTATAATATACAAAGTTGTAACATATGTTTCCGGAGACCTTTAATTGCAAATACAACCTACGTACTGTACTGGTATGTTTCATACCAATTGATAAGCCATTGTTTTATAATAAGTTTAATTATAGATTACTCCTGTAAACTGATCAATATAATTTTTTAATCTATTTATTTTTTAATGACATTCATTAAATCATATATTGATTTAAACTTTACGTTTCTTTATGAAATGGAGTTAGAGAGAGGGGGGGGGGGGGGCAATCTGCGTTGCATCGCACTGAGCAGCTCTTGACATTATAAACTTTCTATTCTAGAGCACATTTTCTTAAACATTCGTCGTTAATTTGAACACTCGAATCCATTGTATGAGGCATGGTTGGTTTAATTTCGCCTCCTTATTTTGACGAATAATTTTTTTTTTTTAATATAAGAGTAAAGATTGCAAGCGACAGACTTTTCAACATTTTTTTATAATCAGGAAAAAATTGTTTAATCTTCCAAGATCATCAGGGGAAAAATGAAAAATCGTAATAGATAAACAACTTCTTTAAAGGAGAGAAGGTAATGACTATACAAACTTAATCTAGTATAAAATAGTGAAAACTGCATGCATGTGTGCTTGACATACTTTGTTTGGTCTTTAAGGTAGATCGACCCTTTGATTAGAGATATAACTCTCACTGGAACAACTTTATACAATTATCATATTTTCAGACAATTTCTGACTAATACTGATCCTCCGGGTTTGCAAAAATTATATGCACTTGCTTATAAATTATGTTTGTTTGTTTTGAAATTCGTTAGCGTTTTTAGCAAAAAGAGGGAAGAGGAACCTTAATCTTTTATTTAAAATCAACCTAGGATTTAAATTTGATCAATATAAAAGAAAAGTTTCTTAATGAAAAAAGTTTAGTGTCTGACACATATTAACATGGTACATTTTTATAATGATATTTTTTCGTCCAGAGGGACATATACGTACATCCTCAGCAAATAAGTCTAAAATTCTACAAACTAAGCATCACAATGTCCTCCATATTCGACTGATTACTTGGTTTTGAGCTGAGCAACTTCACGAGACAAATTGTCCACCATCTTTGACAAGCTGTTAAGGCGGCTCCACAGCCCGTTCCACATGTTACTCGTGGCCTCTCGGTCTTTATCCACAGAAGCAGTGAGCGTAGACAGTTCTTTGGAAATGACAGCTGGACTCGAGTTTTCTGTTTTATTCTTCAGATCACTCAGCATTTCGCGTTGCGACCCCAGTGCCTCTTCAAATCCCGCCATTTTGATATGGAGTTGAGATGGGTTGAATCCCTCTAGGAGTTTAGAATGGTTTGCCAGTGTGTTGTCCAGTGAATTCAATTTTCCTTTTAACAATGCTATGTCATTTTGCATAGCTTTTAAATCTACTCCTAGTAAAATTGACTGTAACCCGTCCATTTTCATGTTGAGGTTAGAAATTTGAGAGTTGATCATTTCCTCGGATTTTTGGCCAGCTTCTTTGACTACTTGAAGGTCGTGCTTTGTGACTGATATCTCCCCATTGATACCCTCCAAACGGGATTTCACATAGTTCACCTCGTTCTGAATTCCCTTTGCTAACTGGGGTACATCGGCAATTTCATTCAAAGTGATCGTCTGCTTGTCCAACACCAGTCTTTGCGATGATTCTTCGGCGGCAAGAGCCGAAATGAGGTCCATCTGTCGCGTCAGTTGCATTTGGAGGGATGCTGTTACGTCCATTACTTTTTTGGTCAGGTACTTAAAGTCACTGCCGAACGTGTCGTTCATGCGGGAGAGAGCTTGTTCCAATTGTTCCATTTCTTCATTCGCGTTGTTCATCTTGCCAACATCTCTCTTCATAGTCAGGAGCTCCTGGGAAATCGTCTTCATCTGGTCTTGAACTTCTGCAGACATGGTGTGCAGTTTAGAAATTTCAGCCCCCAGAGTAGACGCTACGGAATTTGCACGTTCTCGGGCCGTATTGAGTTCCGAGTTAATTTTCCCGACATCGGGGGAACTACAGGACAGACCATTTCCCTCGGGAACAATGAACTCGTATCGACAGTCCTGGCTCCAAGCCAGAGCTAGAAATGCTGCGATGACGATGATTATGGAGGTATGGATAAGACCCATGCCTGATCTTTTCGTGGAGAAATCTCAGAATCGCGTGCCTTTTATTGAGAAAAATCTCTTCCTCCTTGAACAAAACAAGGTTTTTTAAGGGGAACATCAGAAAAAAGAGTCGTTGAAAGTTTTTATCTGTAATTTTGAAATTCCGGATTCCATCGAAAAATTTAATGTTTGCATACAACATTTCAGTGAAACGTTATACACTTTCATTATAAATTTGATAAATTTTCATTTTAGATTCAATGACCCCTTTTTGTACCCCTAATTAAATTGCTCAATGTTATTGTTCCTAGATACTGAAAGTGATCGAGCAATTTGGAAGACATTACTCATGCATTCTCTTTAAAGCCCTATCTTGAAACTAAACATAAAAAAAACATACATTTTCTTTTACAAAATGTTTATCGCCTTTTTATTATATGAATGGAATAATGCTATACTTTATCATCAGTAAAAAGGTATGTAAGATCCCTTCATTTCTGTATATGAACTCAATCATTTTTAAAATAGTTTTGTTTTGAATAAAAATATTTGACAATTTTGATTTGAAGTGCATGGAGAAGGGATGGGGTATTTTTTGGAGTCTTTTTCAGAATGTTGGCATATTGTAATCTAAATATCATTGTGTGTTGTCTGGATATCAATAGTATTTCTCTCAAGAGAAAGAAAGAATTAGAACAATTTGACCAAAAATATAAAAAAAAAATAAAATTGACTTAAACAATTCGGGGAAAATATTTCAAAAATATGTTAAGTAACGAGCTTTTTTTCGTTATGGGAAGTATGTATATGTAAGTAATATGTAAGTAGTGGATGTGAAAAGCGAAATCGGCGTAGTTTCTGTTTGTAGAAGAATTAAAAAAAACGTGGAGATAATAAACATGTTAGCAATTTGACCTTGTGTCTTAAATATTTGACCTGTATAATGTATGTAATGTATATATAAGCGACATTTTGAATTCATGTGGTCTGTAAATCAAAATTTCTTAAGTATGACATGGTTAAGGACTTGTGAAAGAAACATTGTTAAGTCAATTTAGTGAATTTACAAAGGAATGGTTTATGAGCACAGAAAATTCATCTAAATGTTTAAATCATAGGATTTTAAGAATTAGTTTTTGACGGGAAATGTACCTAAGTAAACTCCCAAAAGATTTTAAAAATATATTAACAATATTTAAAATTTGTAACCACAGACTCCCAGTCGAAGCTGGTAGATGGACTAATACTGTTAGATCTTTAAGAATATGAATAAATTGCAAAGTTTTGAGTGATTTAATAAACAAGAACAATTACTCAGGCTAACATAGTAGAATAAAAAATTATCTGATTTTTTAACGCATCAATTGAAACAAAAGCAGATAGAATTTTTTGTACGGGTGGATGTAAACTTTAATTATAGTATTCAGGGTTACATGTACTTGTATAATGATTAAATTTACGGGACATATTTTGACAGCGACGGCGACTTGTGGGATGTATTACGCTATCGCTGCATTTTCAAAATAGTCATTATACCACTAAATATACTCATTACCGCGACAAAATAGTATACGCTAATGCTACATTTGTAAGTATAGAAATACATTACCGCTACATTGCCTATTCCGTTAGTCAGCTATATCTATATATATATATATATATATATATATATATATATATATATATATATATATATATATATATATATATATATATATATATATATATATATATATATATATATATATATACATGTAGATAGATAGATAGATAGATAGAGAGAGAGAGAGAGAGTTGTGTATTAAAAGTGGAAAACGTTCATGATTTTAGAAAAAAAAATCAAAATATATCATGACATACCGTTGTTAACATTTTCGCATTCGCTGGTTTCTCCATACATTTATTTTTATTTCTTCTAAGGAAGGAAGACTATTTAGCCCCCACTCCCATACCAGGTTCTAATACTCTTTTGTACTTTCTTAAACCAAAATTAAAGCAAACTAAAAAAAAATCTTTTTCATTGATAGGAAAAGAAATTTGACTTTTCTTTTGCATTTTTATATATTTTTTATGCAAATACTCTAATTTTAAGCCCAATATATACGCACATTATATACTTCCAGAAAGTATCGCGAAAAAAAGCGATACTTCTTTTTATGTGTCGATGTATCGTACTCTTCTAAATCACAAGATATCGATGTATTTTTACACCCCTTTTATATATACTATAGAGTCTTTTATTCGTGGAATTCCTGTGATCAAGGATGTTCGTCGCGTCTTATTTCTTTAGCATGGCAAAAAAAAAAAAAAAAAAAAAAAAAGATTTTAAAATGTTGTGCAGAAATGCAGAATTGTTGAATAAATAAGGGGTAAATAAAATTACTCCAACACAAATTCCTTCGACTTTTTTTTCATTTGAGTACTAAGAAATTTTCGGGGAAATCCATCCAAGTAAATCAGGGTTGAAATATTTGAGGAATTAGGAAGAAGTAAGTTTAATGTGAAAAACACGATTTCCTGTTTAACAGAGTACATTTTTATCCAAGATAAAGGAGATGATTCTTAGTCACTTTATTTTACCGTAACATTTTAGAACAGTTTAATTCTACTGTAGATTTTTTTTTTATAAAACAACTGTCCAACGAATATGTTTATTCATTTAGAAGCCTTGCCTTTTAGTTTTACTGTGAATAAAGGATATCCTCATAATCTACCACAGGTCAAATCCGGTATCAAAGTTTGCAAAGGTCAAAATAAATTAATTAAACTTTGTATAATTCATCACCCATTCTCTTTCCAGAGTTATCTACCTTACTCTCTTATTGACCCCAATGCTTACCCCCCCCCCCCCCTCTCCGCACACTACTTCCAACATTGTCTATCTATCAAACAAAAATTCACTTGATCACTATTAATTACTATTGAAAGTATTTATCTATGGAAACGTATTTTCATCAGCAATACTAATCTCCTACTAAGTCTGTGTATTCTGGTCCCCCTTTAAGTTCAAAGGCCGTAATTCCGTCAAAAATATCTAAGCGGAATGGACTGTAACTCGTTAAGGTAGCCATCAGCTCAAGATCTGCAAAAATGTAGAAAAAAGTTAAGAAAACCAAAAAGGACTGACTGATAGACTTAGGGACAGACAGACTGACAGACGGAGATGAAACCTTAAGTCCTCCCGGATTCACTGGCAGGGGATTAATAATAAAAATAAAGGTTTACATTATTTTAAAAAAAAAGTGAAATATATATAACATTGAATCACATGTAGAAAGATAAATATTGATATATGATAAAAATTACAGTCATCATCTGTTTCTAATCTCCTCCTTGTGTAGGTATTTCATTTTGACTGTTTACAATACGAGGTCACCATTTAATTCTATGTTTATTGTTTTCGCTATTGTTTTATCGTACTATCGGATAACTAAGTTGATTTCATACATGTAGGAGTATCATGGTATATGCATTTCTCTTCGTTGGATATTTTGTTACTATGCGTATGTTTTATCGTGGTATGGGATAACTAAGAATATCATGGTATTCTTTCTCCGGTGGATGCTTTATTGTTATTTTTTATTTCGGACGAGTGGTTCCGATCTCTCTTGCTCTGCAAACAGAGCATGTTCCACTATGGTAAGAACGCTATTTTTTATTAACCTTTTTAAAAAAAGTGAGAATCGGACATTCTTTTCAAATCAGAAAAAAAAGGTTTTTTTTTTTCGAAGAAATTGCAATTTTTAGGTCACCTAAGTCACTCAGGTGACCTATTGCTATCTGTTTTCGACCGTCGTTGTGCATCGGCCGTCGGTGGTAAATTTTCAACCAATATTGTACATGTATATAGCATTTATTGTTGAAGGGAACAAAATTTGCGAATTGCGTGGTCTCTGCCTCGATCGCTGGAGCCTGAAGGGTGTGATCAAAACCATCAAAATTAATGCAATCGTCAAAAATCTTCTTTACCCCAGGACATCAAAACGTCAGGCATGATTTTCACATAGCCCTCTAAAAATTTATGAAATCCATGGACCCTTTAGGGTTGAGCCTCCAGGGGGGCTAAGTTGGTCATATCTTGAATATAAATTGTCTAAGAAAATCTCCATCTTTACTCATGAAAATCTAGCAGGCAAAATGTAACACGATACAATGAGTACTCAACCTTTTACCAATATTATAAAATTCATGTCCCCTTGATCCATAGTTCAGGCCATAAGGATTTGGCTTTTTGTTCATATATACTAGTATTGCATGTAAAAATACACGTAGATTACATCTCTGAACACTTCTCTTCTCATGTAAAAGCGTGGAACATTAATTTGGTCTGTCTGTACGTCTGTCTGACAATCTGTTTGTGTACCCCCTTAGTTTCTCGATAAATCTCAGAAAGTCCTTCAGCTTTTTAAGTGACCTTTCATATAACTCCCAATAACTTAATAAGGACCCCATTGATTTTGAGTTCAAAGGTACCAAGGTTAATGTAAGATTTTTTTTTTCATGAAAATGGCTTCCATAATCATAATAATTTTATATCATAACTTAACTTCAAGAAGACCCCAATTAAATTTGAGGTCAAAAGGTCAAAGGCCAAGGTAAAAAATTCATAGCTTGCATAAAATGTTTTTCATATAGTAAGCTTGGGTCTTTTTGGCAATTACATGTACAATAAGAGGTAAGGTGATGAATCTTATTAATTAAAAAAAACATTATTGATGATTTTTAGGCTAAATGGAGAAAGGTTAAGTGAAGGTCAATTAAATAATTTGGATTATTTCATTAAAATTAATAGTTATTTATAGGACGTAAATATATACATCGCAATGTGTTCGGGGTTCCACATTCCATGCTATGCACGCATGCGTAGTTTTCATAAACAAAACAGCATGGTTAGAGAGGAATCCCGGTAGGCCTGCTACATTGACAAAGTCGACCAAAAAGAAAAAGAAACTGAAAATAGAACTTGAAAAAGCAACTTTCCTGACTAAAATTTAGTTTGGGGATTAATATAATCGCTGGAT